ATAGATGTAATGTCCAGTGTTATAATTGTGGTAAAATTGGTCATTATCAAAATGAATGCTGGTCTAATAAAGAGGCACATGCTAAAGTGGCTGAAAATAGTGCTAATAGATAGGAGACTTTATTGTTTCTTAGTTCTGCAACTGAAGAGTTTAAAAAGAATGATTGGTTTGTTAATTCTGGTTGTAGTAATCATATGTGTGATAAAAAAGAGATGTTTTTCTGAACTAGATAAATCTTTTTGTATATTTGTGAAATTTGAAAATAATGAAAGGGTGCTTATTCTTGGAAAAGGGTAAATTAGAATTATCTTGCAAGATGGGTCTTCGAATTATATATCTGATATTTTCTATGTACCAAGTTTATATTATAATTTGTTGAGTTTGGGACGACTGTCTGAAAAAGGTTATGATCTGCATTTTTAATATGGTGATGGCACCATAGGTGATGACAAATTGGAATTAATTGCCAAGGTAAAAATGAACCGTAGTCGTTTGTGGCCACTTTCTCCTAACTGTGGTGATTTATTTTGCTTTAATTTCATGACTTGTGATAATTCTTGGCTATGGCATATGCGTTTTGGACATTTGAATTTTGGGAGTTTGAAATTTCTTGCAAGAAAGAAATTGGTTATTGGATTGCCTTGTATTAATTTTCCTGACAAGAAGTGTGAGTCATGCATTTTAGGAAAGAAGCATAGGGATCCTTTTCCAAATGGTAAGGTTTGGAGGGCTAATTGATCACTTGAACTGATTCATTTAGATTTATGCACAATTGAAATTCCTTCCCAATGTGGTAGTAAGTATTTTAGTACTTTCATTGATAATTTTAGGAGGAAGACCTGAGTGCATTTTTTGAGAAATAAATCTAACACATGTGACGTATTTAAAAAATTCAAGTATTATGTAGGGAGGTAGAGTGGCTACTTTATTAAAATTTTAAGGACTGACAGAGGCATTGAATATCTTGTTTGTGATAATTATTTCGTAAAAAGTGGTATAAAATACCAATTGATAACTAGATATACACCTCAACAGAATAGTGTGACAGAAAGGAAGAATAGGACTATGATAGATATGGTGAGATCTATGATGCACTCCAAAGGTATTCCTAAATCCATTTAGGCAGAACTAGTGTCTTGTACTATAAATGTTTTGAACAAGTGATCTACTAGATGCAATTTTGGGAATACACCACAGGAGGTTTGGACTGGTATGAAATTGGATATTTCTCATTCAAAATATTTAGTTGTCTTGCATATGCACATGTTCCAGATTATTTAAGAAAGAAATTGGATGATAAAGCAGAGAAGTGTATTTTTATTGGCTATAATCATGAGATTAAAGGGTATAAATTATTCAATCCAAACACAAAAAGGTGATTATTAATAATGATGTGACCTTTGAGAAATATGGAGCATAGGATTGGTCCAAGAAAGATTCTGAGATATTATCAAAGTATCTATATATTTCTCCAGTTATGGGAGCGAATTCCAATAAGCAACCAGTGGATCAAGCTGTGCAATCTCATGGTGATATCTCAACTTCTACCATGTAGGTTAAGGCATCCAATTGACTACAGAGAGAACGCCACATCCCAACCCGATTTGATGATTATGTTGTTGGTAGATATGATGATTTATCTAATGAATATATTGTGAATTTTGCTCTTTTTGCAGATTGTGATCCTGTCTCATTTGAGAAAACTGTCAAAGATGATTGTTAGCTTCGTACAATGAATGAAAAATTCATGCCATTGAGAAATATGATACATAAGAGTTGACCACTATCCCATCTGAGAAGAAACCAATTAGAGTGAAATGGGTGTATAAAACCAAAAACAAGCCAACAGGAGAGATGGATTGCTTCAAAGAGAGATTGGTTATTCAAAGTACGCCTGGTGACGACTCGAGCTACTCGCGAGCAGCTCGAGTCAAAGCTCAGCTCGAGCTCGTGTTGACCGAACTCGAGCCGAGCTCGAGCCTTTCGTTAAGACAAACGAGGTGAGCTCGAGCCTTCGTTTCTTAAGCTCGAGCCTTCGTTTCTTAGGCTCGATAGCTCGACGAGCCGCTCGTTGGGCTCGAGTAAATGTGAAATTACAAAAATACCCCTGAATCAATTAAGATTTACAATTTCTCTGCTCACTCCTTCGATTAGGCTACCTAATTTTCCTCCTTCCTTCGATTAGGTTAACTTCTCTGCTCACTCCTTCCTCACTTCCTTCGATCGATCTTCTTCCTTCGCCGATCGGTTGTCCCAGCTGCCAAACTCCCAAGTCCCACCTCCACCACTTCCGGCAGCTCCTCAGCAACCTCCAAGCTTTCTCTGCCAAGTGCCAACTGTTCCAAGTCCCAAGTCCCACTTCCGCCACCGCCATCTCTGCTAGCTCCACCTCCACCACTTCTGGCAGCTCCTCAGCAACCTCCAAGCTTTCTCTGTCGAGTGCTGACTGTCCCAACTCCCAAGTCCCAAACTCCCAATTCCCACTTCCACCACTGCCATCTCTGCTACTGCTGGATCCATCTCGACCACTTCCGCCAGCTCCACTTTAACAACCTCCAAGCCGCGCAAGAATCTGAGTTTCTTTGCTTTCCCACTTCAGCAACCTCCAAGCCGCGCAAGAAGCTCTACTTTAGCACTTTACTTTCCCTCTTTTCTCGCATGAGGCTGACTGACGGCCTTTCCAAACCCAACCAGCTTCCCGGCGCATTCCCATCTCCGGGCTTTGTCTAAGCTTTTCTAGTGACGCAAGTCTGCAACCCACTGAGCCCATCTCCACCACTCCCTACTGTGTCCAACATCCTCAGATCAGTCCACTAGATTTTCTCCCTAGATTTTGCAAATATGTACTCAGGTTCTTTTTCTTTTCCTTTTCATTTTTTGTTTGGAATCTGGAAGGTGATCCACATTGCCAATTCTGTAAAATGGTTTCCATGGATGGATTCGATTGATGGTTTTACTCTTAATCGCCCCGTTGTTCCAGTATTGCTAAACAAGAACATAAAGGACCTTTTGTACCATATATTAGAAGAACAATTTGCTCAAACTAGGTAATTATACTCTTGATGTATCCAGACAAAGCAAGTCAAATGGCTTTTATTGGTGTACTGTCTATTTACTTCTGCATTGGCTGTAATGGGATTTGTGGTGGTTATTATGTCTGAAATTGGTCTAGCAAACTTTGAATAGACTTGGTCATGATCATGTTGAAGGATCTGGATTTCTGCACTTGTTTGTCTACCATGAGCTCTGGCACTTATGATTTCTATATATGAAGCGTTAGCACCAGTTTGGCAAAGTGAAAAGAGACTCCTATTTAAAAGCCTGATCAAACACGCTCATTGAAAATATGAATAGGAACAAGTGCCAGAGCTCCTTGTCAAAGTGTTTTGATAATAATTATGCCTAGATTGGCGCTAAATTTGTGATGTCCCATGTTTTGCTAATAATAATGCTTAAATTGTATATTTTTTTGGATTCTAAAAATAAAGGCCGAATATCATAGTTGCATAATTGTTTGTTATCAATTCTTCAGAGAAGATTAATGTTTGGAATAGCTTGATAAGTTCCACAGCTTACCATGGTGTTATATTCTATTAATTCATATATACAGATCCCTAAAAAGAACAAAATATTGAGTTTAAAAACTTTTTTGAGGGCAAAATGAAATGAAGATATATTAATAAGAAAAGTTGATTTGTCAAATTAGCTAAAATTCGTTTGACATACTAGTGAGACAGTGCTAAGAGGCTTGATATTTCTCCAAATCTTGTAGTAAATATGGGACAGTGGCATTTAAGGAGACATGAAGATAAATTACTTAAAAATCTAGTGAAGAAAAATTCCAAAATGAGGAAACAAGGCAGTCAGGATGCCTTCCATCATTTAACCCCAAGGGACTAGGTCAAGTTTCATGTATTCTTGCTACTATGGGACTTGTATGTGTGGGTGAAAACTATCTCTACCTTTATTCAATTCTAGTAGACATGGTTTTATGGTTTTTTACTTGTTTCTTTGGGGGTGAAAACTGTGTTGACAGTACAAGCTACTTTTTATTATTCCATGGTCATGTGTTCTTGTCATTATGGGACTTGCTGTCCTCTTGTTTCTTAAAAATAATTACTACTACTAACTTGTTTCCTAGTAATAGTAATCTGTTTTTGGAATTAAAGAATGCTGCTCATGTCCTTTTTTTTTTCTTTGGGTATAGTTAAAAGAAATTGAGAATATAAAATGGATACGTCCAACCAAGAGCAGTTTTCACCAATTATTAGATCAGTTGGTGATTCTGCTAGTCTGGTGAATATCACTGACAAGGGTATTGCTGTTAACATTGACGAAAATTTGGAATTCTCTCTTGGTGATGAAGAATTAGGGAGTGAAGATGAAGCATTAGAAGGTGATACACATATAACCACTGAAACAGTTGTGGAAGAAGCTGCTGCGGATGATGGATTGGATGCTTTTCAAAAAAAAAGATGATCAAAAAATCAGTAGCATGGGATGACTTCAAAGGTGTTGAAGTTGGCCATCAAAAAACTCTTATGTCGGAGTGTATTCATTGCCATGCAAAGTTCAAGAAGACGAAAACCAGTACAACTTCAAGTTTGCTAAGGCATAGGAAGTCATGTGCTATCCGTTTGCAAAAACTCAAAAAACCAACACAGCAAACAATGATCAATTTCCCATCTTCTGACTCTGCCGAAGCTTCTCAAACCTACCTTCACCCCGGGAGGTTTGATATGGCAGTCATGAGAGAAGCTACTGCTGAATGGGTGCTTATGCATGAGCATCCATTTTTAACTATGGAGGAATAAGGCTTCAATTTGATGCAAAAAAGAGGGATGCCCGAATGGCAAAGAATCAATCGGACTATGAACAAAAATGACTGCACATTAGTTTATGAAAGAGAGAAGACAAAATTGAAGAACCAATTAAAGAAAGTCAAGAAAATCAGCTTGACTACAGATCTTTGGAAGTCCAAGAACCAAAAAAATGAATATATGGTCATAACCGGGCATTGGATTGATAATAACTGGAGATTGCAGAAACGAGTTCTCAACTTTGTGCACGTCCCTCCTCCACGTCAAGGCATCCAAATTGCGGATGCTATTTTCAAATGTTTAATGGATTGGGGAATTGAGAGCAAGGTTTATACAGTCTCAGTCGATAATGCCTCAAATAATGACAGTGCACTGAGATGTTTGAAGGACACTTTCTCCCGAAACAAGTGTATATTAGCAAATGGAAAGTTGTTTCATGTGAGATGTTATGCTCATATACTGAATTTGATGGTTCAAGACGGACTCAGTCAAATCAAGGAAATAGTTGACACAATCAAGGACAGTGTGGAGTTTATCAATAAGACAGATGGAAGACGCTTGCAATTTGCTGAAATTGTACACCAGCTGCAGTTGCCAGAAAAAATGCTAATTTATGATTGCAAAACAAGGTGAAATTCTACTTATGAGATGCTGACTTGTGCACTAAAGTTTCAAGATGTTTTTCCAAGCTACAGAGATAGAGAGCCAAATTATGATTTCTATCCAACCACAAAAGATTGGGAAAAGGTTTCAAAAGTGTGCAATATTTTAAAAGCTTTTTGGACAGCAACTCATGTGATATCTGGTAGTGATTATCCGACAGCAAATTTGTATCTAAATGAAGTTTGTCGGATAAAAGTACTACTAGATAGTAAGGTTGATGATGAAGATGACTTTGTCCGGTCAATGGTGCAAAAGATGAAGTTGAAATTTGATAAGTACTTGGGAGAATCTAACTTGTTAATGTCTATAGTAGCTATTTTGGATCCCAGATGCAAGATGAGAGTCATAAACTATTGCTTTCCATTGCTTTATCCTTCACATGAAGTGCAAAGCAATATAGGCAAGGTTCAACAAGCCTTGTATGACCTATATGATGAATATGTGGAGATACATGTTTCAGGCCAAAGTGGATTATCTTCTCAACTACTAATCGGCAATGATCACCCAACCAAGAACAGCAGTAGTGCATCTTCATCAGTGTCCCATGTTTCGGGTATGAGTGAATTTCTTACCCATATTGCAACCGTTAAGAGTGTTCAACCCATCAAGAATGAGTTGGATACCTACTCTGAAGATGGTCTCCTCACAGCTACAGATGATTCAACGGTAGACATTATGAATTTGGATGCCTTGAAGTGGTAGAAAGACACAACAAAATACAAGATTCTTCCCAAGATGGCTGCTGATATTTTAGCCATTCCAATAAGCACTTTAGCTTCAGAAGCTACATTTAGTGCTGGAACCAGAGTAATCGACTCTTACCGTGCTTCCTTGGCTCCAGAAACTGTAGAAATGTTGATGTTTGCTGGAGATTGGTGTCGTAAGCTACACGGCATGAAGAAAAAGGAAAAGGTAACAAAAAAACAAAATTATCACGCATAATATTTAAATTCGGCCTTACTATTTCTTAATTTCTTTTATTTTAATTTTTTGTTTTTTCAGAAATTGAAGGATAGACAAGAGATTGTGTTGCCTATTTCTTGACTTTAGAGATGTTTGAGGTAATTCACCTTTAATTTCCTATTTAGAGTTTTGTCCAATTATAACTCATGGTATTAAGATCTCAATGCTTTTAATTTGGAAGTTAGATCAATTTTTCTAAAGTTGTTAGAATGCTGGATTTGATCTCCGTGTAATCAAATCTGTACTTGTTCGGGATATGAGGTTGTTGGTTGACAAATCCAAACAAATGAGCTGCTTGTGATGTAGATTATTATAGTGCGACCTTGTGCAAATTTGGGTGTATGGCTGCTAGTTACTATTTTGTATCCAATGTAGACAAGATTGTTGATGGTTTATTTCATGCTTAATACTTTTTAGTTACCTTGGCAATCATACGGTGTGACGAGATATGAGTTCTCTGTTATTAGTGGATGCATTGCTGGTACTGAACTTTGTTTAGTACTAGTAAAGGGGAGAAAGTTAGAGTGAATGTTTTACTTCTATATGCAGAACACATAAACACTCTTTTTCCTCTGGCTGGGAAGAGAATTTGAAATGATATTAGTTAGGATGGGTTGTCTTGTATCCAGATGTGGAGGTTTGTAATGGAATCATGTATTGGCTTGGGTCACTTGGGTGCCTCTGCCATGTTGCTGTGTTGTATCAGTAAGGGTCAGCTTGTATTTGTTAGCAGACTTGTCATATGGAGCAATTTAGATAAGGTTTTTATTATTGAATGTTGGATTACCTTTTATTGGTGGGTTTCTGCTACTTGTTTGATGACGAGTGTCAAATTGAATAACTCATGTTTGTTGGTATCATGAGACTAATTATTAAAAGCTCTTATATTATATAGTTTGATTAGCATGCTTGTCAGTTTCCTTTTCTCTTTTAATGTGATTATACTCATGAAACTTCGGGATATTTGTTGGATATGAGTTGTATGAGTTGACAAGACTGGCACAATGACATCTGATGATATGGTATGAAAATTAGAAGCTTGAAAATTCGTATTTGGCATTTGCATTTTTGCCAAATCGTTTTTCTTATGACTCTTTTAATCTTTAGGAATTTTCTAGAGTTGTTGGACTAACTGATCGTGAGGAATTAGAAACAAAAATGAGTAAAGTTCCAGGATGCACTCAGGAAATTCTCGCTTCATGTCATGCCTTGGTTTTTGTGGACAACAAGCTGGTATTCTGTAGACTTCTTGTGGACATTTGGATAATTTGTATTAGTGGATATTTGTGGACATTCAGATAATTTGTATTAGTGGACATTTGGATATTTATGATTGTTTAGGGTATATGCATTTGAATCCTACTTTCGTAGTGAATCAATTATACTCATAACCACTCCATACCTATTATCATGGTTATGAAATTAGTTACAAGTTCATTTCTTCAATGAAATTACATGAAATGAATCACTAAAACCACATAGGTGCACCTCTACTCTCGTGAGTGTACTCCCTATATTTAGCACTTCTTGAACCAGTGTTAAATCTCAATTTTTATTGCATAAACAACACCTTAGATAATCATGATTTAAAGAGTTAAAGTGCTAAATAACTTACCCAAATAATAGATTCAAATAACCAAATAATGAACACTAGCAATTATAGAAAGTTCAACCAAACTCAAGGCATAAACTTTAGAAACACATAATAACATATAAATCCATAACTTGTATATTAACTAAACTTAGAATCAAGTACAAAAGATAAAGAGTTGGAAAGAAAAAATAACCCTTGTCACATGAGGTCTTTCCTTGCCTTCTTCATCTCCTTCTTCATCTTTGCCTAGCTAATAAACAAGAAGGATGAACTGCTACTCTATACTAAACTAATCTAGCACTAAGAGAATGGAAAAGCTATATTTTTGCAGACTCCAAACTTCTCCCGTATGATCCTTTTAGACCTCCCAAATGTCTCTGCATATAAACTACTCCAAAAGCTCATTTTTCACTGGTCAAACTTTCCACACTTGATTCCCAAATCTGAAATTGTTAAGATAGTCAATAACAAATGTTTTTTACTTGAAAATAAGCCATATTATCTACCCTTTTGTCTTCTGAAGCATGTGCACTGAATTCCCTTGCAACTTATAGCTAGAAAGTAGTATGAACACAAGAGAAATGGCTGAACAAATTGCAGAAGTTCGACTACAAAACGCGCCTATAAAAAACACAGCTTGCAGTCGCGTTTTATTAACTCATGTTTTCAATTTTGTGTTTCTGTTTTCACTTCAACTGTAATTTTCTGTATGATGGAACCGGAACTAGCTTTTGTGTAAAACACAAAAGTTTTAGCCCTTTGAATTATCTTTCCAATGCTTTAAAAATCATCCAAATCAGAGTTTTGTAGGCTGAGATATGACCGAAATACTAACACCTGATCAAACCCCTGTTTTCAACTTTGGACAGCAGTGTTGAATTTTGGTATTTTGACTTTTTGACTGAGTAATCGGTTGAATTGGATTCTGATGTCTTCACACCGAATTTAGATCTATCTCTTAGCTTCAAAATGGTATAAATATCACCTCAATCCAATCTGTGTAGCTCCAAATATAGTTAAAATACCAAAACGTGTCAGAGTTGTCAAAGCTGACTTTTCTTGATTCAAATTGCATTTCTCCTTTTACACTTCATATTTTATTTTCACCACTTTAATCCATCTTCAATTATCCAAATATCTTCTCAATGTACTTCATTTGATGATTGAATCATTAAACCTACAAAATATGAAATTTTTACCATAAAAATCAATAGAAATGCAATGTTAGCCACTTTAACATAAAATGTAGATTTTTACCAAAACCTTAGTTATTTTAGTTATAAAACTAAATAATCAAACCAAAATTAACTAATAAAACACACTAAAAATATGTAAAATATATTCTTATCAGCGAGCCAGAATTCAAGCTAAGTTCGCGAGCCATAAGCGAGTCGATCTTGAGTTTTCCTTTTCCTACATCGAGCCAAGCTCGAGCTCCATTTTTCGAGCTCGACGAACTCGAGCTCGAACTCGAACTCGCGTATAAATAAGTGTGACTCGACTCGATAAATTCAAAACTCGATTTGACTCGACTCGTTTGCACCCCTAATTCAAAGGCTATAAGCAGAAGGTAGGTATTGATTATTTTAAAATTTTTGCCCCAATTACCAAACTTGATATTGTTCGAATTATTGTTTCACTTGCTGCAAATAATTATTAAAAAATTTATCAAATAAATGCGAATTTGCTTTTTTAATTAATTTTCTTGAATAAGAGGTATATCTTGAGCAGCATGTAGGTTATGTTAGAAAGGATCAAGAAGACAGATTATAAATTGAAGAAGGCATTATATGAGTTGAAACAAACTCTTAGAGCTTGGTATATTCGCATTGATACTTATTTTGTTGAGAAAGATTTTATAAAAATGTCTATATGAGCATACTTTGTACATCAAATTGAACCCTAGAGGAGATGTTCTTATTGTGTGCTTGTATGTGGATGACTTGATATTTACAGACAATAATCCCAAACTAATTTCTGAATTTAGGGAGGCCATGATTAGCTAATTTGAGAAGATAGATTTGGGTTTGATGTCTTATTTTCTTAGTATTGAGGTTCATCAGTTAAATGGTGGAATTTTTATTTCACAAAGGAAGTATGCAGGTGATATTTTGAAAAAGTTTAAGATGAATGTGGCTAAACCAATGATGACCCCCATTGAAGAGAAATTGAAGTTGACTAAAGATGGCACTGGTGATTTTGCTAATGCTGCTTATTGCAGGAGATTGATGAGAAATCTCAGGTACGTAACTTCTATAAGACTTGATATTGCATATGCGGTTGGTGTGATCAGTAGATTCATGAAATCTCCACGCCAATCCCACTTGCAAACTGCTAATAGGATTTTGAAATATGTTCAAGATACGCAATCTGAAGGTATATTGGATGTACTGACAGTGATGGGTTTGGTCACCAATACAAAGAAAGAGCACTTCTGATTATGCATTTTATTTGAGATCTGATTTATTTCTTGATCTTTAAAGAAATAACAGGTGGTTGCATTGTCCACAGCAGAAGTAGAGTACATGACTGCTATGAGGAGTGCTATTCAAGTATTTTGGTTGAGGAGAATGCTTAGATTTTTACAACACAAGTAAGATGGTCCTACCAACATATTTTGTGATAGCATGTCTACTATTGAATTTACAAGAAATCCAAATTTTCATGAATGCAGCAAACATATTGACATCAAATATCATTTTATTGCATATGGAGGAGGAGCATTTGTAGCTATCTAAGACACTTTTAATTGTATGAAACCATGGTATGGCGAGAATATTATAATTGTTGCCCAGAAACTTGAACCATTCTACACTCAGCAAGTCTTTCAGTATCCTGCAGAAAAAGGACTAATTTTAGATTGCGATTATAAATATATCCTTGGAAATACTAGATGCCATCCTCCCCGTGATGTAAGTAGAACTTAATATTGATTTTCATTATCATACTTTTCTTAGTAATTCTCTTTGTTTTCTTTTTTTTTTGGTCATGCAATGATACTCTTTTCAATCATCACTTCAAAAAAGATATGGTTGTTGTAATAAGGATATTATTTGCATAATTTGAAATTTCAAATAAGTGTAGTCAACAGTTATGTTTGTACCATACCAGTAGCTAACATTTATGTCAATATCAATTCTGCATT